ACCATAACTGCTGCGCATCTTTCTTTAAGATCGTCTTTTATCGTTTGTCTGCATTATTTTGCAAGTTTGGACGTTAGTTCGCGGTTGCCTGCAACTCACGCCATTCTACGCTGGCGTATCAGCTCGAGTGTTTCTGGAGACATAAGTCTCTTGGTGATTTTCGAACTCTCAGCTTTCATACCGCTAACGTGAACATGCTGAATGAGCGGGAAGTATTCCTCCTCGATGTCATCGACGATGGCATCCTCTGAACAGCCGATTAATGAATTGAATAAATCCTAGTTTATGGTTGTTCTGGGGCTTCGGTTTTTGAATTTAGCAGCTTTTCTCCTTTCTGCGAGGAATAGAATCTTACACGAAGGAGACGGTGGTCTGATCCCGTGTAGAGTTTTGGGAGAACAGCGACATTGGTTAGGCAAAACCTATTTACTATGATGTGGTATATTTCGTACACTCTACTCTACTCTCACTACACTCTCCACTGAGAGACTCTCACGTCCAGCGTTGAGGGTGGGAATTTTGGAATTGCGAGTTACCATGGATGGTCTTGGTCGCCAAGATAAACTAAGATAGTCGCTGACCCTGTTCGTTCCATTCTAATCCATGAGTCCCAATGTGACGTTCTTCTTTATCTAATTTTGGCGTTAAAATCCCAAATGTGTTGAAGAATGTGTGTTCGTCTCTGTAGAACTTCTCCAAGTCCATATAGAACGCTTCGATTTCTTCTTCGTCATAATTTGATGTCGGCGCGTAAACGACGAAGATTGTCAAGGCCAGTATTGAACCTAATATTTTAATCGTAAAGGTCCGATTCGGGTTGTAAGTCGGAATGAATCTATGTTCATAGACAAGCTCGTGTTGACGAGAACGCCGACGCCGCCGACTCTTCTACTGTCGCTTGTTCCGAGGAGCAGTTCTTCTCGGGTGTCATAGACGGCGTTGAATGGGTACCGTCGTCTCGTCTCGGCCAGGCTGATGACGTCGTACCTCATCCTTCTTGCTTGCATGAGCAAGCCTTCTATTGAGGACTCGAATGCAAGTGTAAGTGCATTGTAGGTGTAGATCGTCACATAGTTTTTCGTGATCCAGGCAGCTTCCATTGGGCCTGAGATTCTAGCAGCCTCTCCGTACTCGTTCTACCCAACGCTGCGGTATTGGGGCTCTTTCGGGGTTAGAAGAATTCGACCCGTTTCTTTACTGCGTTTAGTATTTTGATACCCACGTATAGCTTGCTGGGCTCTGAACGTAGGTGTTGGGTATACTCACGGGTAGTTTGCCGGGCTCTCCCAGAGTGGACATGGAGCTCACTTGTTGGAGACGGCTCCTGACCGCCTCCCATATACTTCGCTGTCACTTGGTTGCAGGCTTTTCGCCGAACTGACTCGTAGAATACAATCCGCGTAAGCGAGAACGCACCCACACACGCATGCATGAATACGCCTTGCAAATGCAGACAGTATGTGCCAAATCAGCGTAACAGAAACAGGAAGTCCATCCTCTGGATCCACGTGCGTCTCAGGGAAGCAAAGGTCGCTTTTGGTCCGCGATTAATCCCCTTTCCGCCACCTGGGGACGCGCCACGTAGCCTAGCACCTAACCGGCTCGAAATCCCTCATATGGGTGAGATCCATGGAAAAGACATAGAAGCTCAAAAGCTGGGTTTATAAAAAATTCACTAAAAGTGAAGATATGGAAGGTAGTTTTGAGCAAGATAGGGAAATATTCGAAGGAAAATCAATATGTTACATTTTACTAAACAATTTCTTACAAAACCGTTTCCACATCTAGTGTTCGCCTCCCAGCACTTCTTGCAATCGATTTGTTTTATCACAGCCATCACTCACGAAGGACTACGAATTCTTAATGTGTAGGCTCGCGTGCTGCTCGAGATTGTCGCCTTCTTTATGAATCCCATTGAATACTGGTCGATTTGATTCATTTTGCACACCTGGGATAGCTTGGCTAGAGAGCTTCCACATAGATCGTAAAGGTGAACTGTTCTCGGACAAGTCTGATACCAAATTGCTGATCCTGGAAGGACTAGAGGGATCGGCATCACTAACACTGCGCTACCCGTCCCTTATAAACTCGATTAGATAGATAAGAAAGCGGTCATTTTAAAAAACAAAAGAATGAATTATGTTGTTTCAACTGTTCGTGTTGATTGGAATTCCACTACGAAAGAATGACGAGAATTTGCCGATGTTCGTCAAACGCATTACCATAACGATGGTCACTACAACAGATAATCCACAGGGTGATCGGCAGCAATCCGAAGTGATTTTCTCGTCACTAATTAATAATACAAACATACAGAATCATATCTTTAATTTTTCACTAATCTTCTGAATACAACGCGCAGAAGGCGCGCTTAGCGAGGTACCTAGAGGTCCCCTTCAATAAACACGTAATCATTGGTTCGATACCACTTCGGGCAAACTATCCTCTTCACGCTTTAGTTTTAGGCAAATTGATACCATACTCATTTAGGTGGCTTCTGAAAGTCATTGTTCAGGACAAATACGCATTCCACCACCTCTACGATGCTACGAATGGAGTTCAATGCATGACGCAATTATAAAGAGTTGATCGATACCTAAATCTTCATGCTTTTTACAAGTTTCCTTTTTTATGAGGTACTTCAGGATTTGTAGTCCAATAGGCAGCCATTGGTAAATAGAAATACCTCATATACTCAGATTAAAACCTCAAGCCTCAGTGCTAAACCTCAGCGTTAAATTTCTCCATGGGCAGCGATAACTCCTAACTGACAAAAGTTTGCTGTTGGGTCAGCTTTAAAATAGACATGCCAGACTGCTTCTAAGGCTAGGTGTTTCTTTCTGGAGATCTACTTCATGGTTTCGACGGTATTTCATTATTAAAGACGTTCTTTGAAAAATGAGGTGGTGAAGTGAATCATTTTAAAATGTGCGTCGATAGTTATGGACAAAAATATTTTCGGAATTTGTCACACGTCCACTTTTGGCTACAATAACAAGCCATGAGCGAAGACAAATGTTAATCATCGTAGAGTTTACCTGGCATCCCCTTGCAAGACCTGCACATCAACAACAGTTCATGCTAACCTGCGGCCAAAGATTACGTAATACCTTTCACTGCACTTGAGGAAACCTTATAGCCCTTACAATTAAGGTCATACTTTCGCAATCTAGGTCATCACTGATGATTTAAATGTTTAGATAGAACTAAGCACTATATCTGAGGAGCTCCATAATGCAATTCACATCTTCACAATCTTCAGTTCCAACTTTATAAATGGAAATTTTTCAATGAGAAAGAGTACGACTCCGTCATAGCTTCGTAGTAGTGATTGAATGCATATTTGGCCTGTAAAGTCATCACCGAAGGTCTACCGATGTATCAATCTAAAAGTTTTTTTCTCCTAAACAAGTTTGACGCCAATCTGTCATCATGAAGGGTTTGGTTAACTCTATGCGCGAGGTCGATCAGATGACCATGCATGTACTGTAGGACATCTCTAATCACTGTGATGCACATCCCTTACATTTTTCGAAAAGACGAATCACAATGTCTAAAACTTTGTAATTCAACTTTTCAACTTCTGAACGAAAAAGGGAAGAAGGAATAACAAGTATGAGAAAAGAGAAAGTGTAAAGAAGCGAATGATGACCGAAACTGCGCGGAAAATTCTCGAAATGAAATAATCCGTCAGAATTGTCAGTTGAGAATACAAAAAGTAAACTGACAACAAAAAAAAAAACCACAATTCAAGTGTAGGGAAACTCTGACAATGAAATTAACAGTAGAAAAACCACTTTCATTTCTGAATATAATTGGGTCGATATGGGCCCCTGTAGCGCAGTGATCGCAGGCACCCTGCAATACACATAGGATCGATCCTCGTGCCCAAGGGTCACCAAGCTTTCCATTCCTCCGAGGTCCGTAAACTGGTACCAGAAATGTCTGAGAGGATAGTAGCATTAGCTCGATACATTGGTATACCACCGCGAATCATTGTAAAAGCCAGATGCTCATTCGATCACCTCCAGCGATGCATAATGAAGCCAAATGCATGGTGCATACCTCAGGGATAGATCAACGCCGAGAGCTTTATCCTTTACCCTTCTAAATGGACCGATAATCGACCATTTGGGATTGTCTTGTGACTGGATGATTCATGGGTGTTTAATAGCTTTTTTTTACTCCGACGTAAGTCTTAAAAAATGAAACAGAAACCAAACGTATAGTAACGATAAATCACTTCAGAACGATCGATAAAATCGATCAATAAATATTCCAGCAACTAAAATGGAATGACAAAGACCCAGAAGTCCTTAACAACGTCTGTCAGGCTTTGATTTTCCAAATGAAAAGAGTCCTTTCGAGTATAATTTAAACGTAACTGCAGTAATGTTTGCAATATTTTTTTAAAAAATGAAGAAATGGGGTGCTTAGTCATAAAGCTGGCAGTGCGCCAAAGTTCGTCCTCTGCCACTTTTCTCCCTATCACTTCGTATCACTTAATTAGTGTAAAGTTTGAGTTAATCGAGCAAGTTTAGGAACTCGTGAAACCAATGGACTGACGTAAATCGATAAATCAACTTGAGCAGTTTCGTTTTTCTGAATGACGACGAAACGAATTCTCTGACACTACAGTGATGTTCGTAAATGACCTTCGTTACACTACTGATTTATTGGGCAACAAAATAAAAGCGTTTAGCATCCCTACTATCTGCAGATCGTAGATTCCGACGACGGTAGAGTAATCAATTGCTATTGATCGCTATCAAAAACTTCCAGTTGTAAGTAGTCAAGAAACGCTTCGGACTAGAAGGTGCTAAAGATCGCCGGCGCCAGCTGATCGGTGAACGTGTGCGTCCGATCGGTCGTCGATTCATCAAGACGAGTTCTGGTTATGAGAAGAAAACGTATCATCAACGACAATTCTCATAGATTATCTATCAACTTGTCGAAAAATCAATAATACGTCTCGTCTTCTACGTGAGTTCGATAGCAAATCAATCATCCCAAGAGACCACAGACTGCTCACGTTGTTGATGTTTCTCTTGAACGTCATCATTAAATAGAAGAATATCGATTAACTCCGTGACAAGACGGGTTTCGAAAGGCGATCCAGACAGAAGATTACACTGTTGTCCTGCAATCTCGAACTAGATCGATTCCTAATCGACCTTTCTGTTTGGCGAATATTTTGGGTGCATTTGGCTTAAATTTACTTCTAGTTGCTCAAGTGGAGATACGTTCTCAACTCGATAATTCTAAGAACACTTTCTATCGATACTAAACATGAAGCCATGAACGCGATATGTGAGAACTTGTGGACAAGAAGTGCTCGTGTCTGGGTCTCCCATACGGATGTCCAACCGACGACGAGAAGACCATAAGCTTCCTAGAATCACCCAAGCTGTGAAATAACTTGGCAGTTTCTTCTAAATGTCCAGTACCTAAAGTAGATCACTGCCAAGAAGAATCGCCGTCATTACCGAAGAAAATTAATTTTCAGTTAGCAATCGTCGCTTTGATCCTTATGGGAAGACGACTGCCTCGTGACGACGAAGGAAATAAGGGCTGGAGACCGATAGGTTTTTTGGGAGTGAAAGGAGAAAAGTCTTACTAAACCAGTACTGCGATAATGAAGTGTAAACGAAGAACGACACCGCATAGGTCGTTCAGAATTTTAGAGGATCAAGGCTCATCAAGGTGGTAACATGCCAGTTTAGTGGGAAATACGCTGAAAGCTGCAGAAGTAGAGGATTAATTAACTAAGTAGTAATTTAAGTAGGCTCTTCTTAGTGATGTGGATACTCTAGGCCTTCCTTTTTTACGGCAAAATAAAAGTAAAAAAGGAACGCAAGCTTCAACGTCAACGATGCGAAGACAGAAAGCACTTCTCTCAAAAACTCTTCTTTAGTCTTTTTCCTCAAAAAAGAAGCAAGATATGAAAAGATATGTTATCATTCAATATAACTTTATATGAATGAGTCCTACTGGAAACTAAGAAATGTTTTTCGCAGTGAATAAAAAGCGAACACGAAAAGAAGTGCTTTAGGGAATGTACCAATATCATCGATTTTGATGAACACAAAGCGGAAAGCGAGTTTTTCTTCGGTGGAAGTTCATCACGTTTGGTTCTTATTATGAAAAAATCGGCACTGCAGTTTGGGATCAGACTCACACAATAACGGTTCCAGACGGATCGTCGTCCTTGACGGGAGTGGGAACAAGACAAGGCGAACGTCTTGACCTGTACGACCACAGCCGTCGTCGGCCGTATTTCCCCGTCGGATTGCAGGCGGCGCGCGCAGCTCCGACGACATCTTACGGCCAGTTCACTTACCGTAATTGGCCGTTTGTGGACTAGAATCATTTGGCGATGAAATCGCAACGATTTACAGCGATGTACCAGAGATTTTGTGTTCTGAATCACTATATTCTCGTGGTTTTTATTCCAAGGATTTGTTTTTATTCTGTTTCGTAACTGAATTGGCAAATTTGTACCAGACTTGTCTGGGAGGATAGCAGCACTGGCCCGATACATCGGTAGGCCACCGCAAGTCATTGTAAAGGCCAGATATGCATTCGATCACCTCCAAACGATGCTTAATGAAGTAGAATGCATGGCGCATCCCTCAGAAATTGATCAACGTCGGGATCTTTATCCTTTTTACCGCTTAAAGTTTTTTAATTCGAGTTGCTAGGCCATTATCTATTAACACCTTTAAGAGAACAACTTACCAAGGATAATTCGCTTCATAGAGTAAAGAAAGAGTTTCCTTCGTTTTTTTCTGTCTTAAACTATGATGCTAAAGTTCCAACGCGCTTTATATCCTAATAGATTAGAGAAAGTGCAAAAATTTTAGCGCTTATTCCGCTTGGTAACAAGTCTGCGCTAAACATTGCCCTGTAGCTATCGCCGTGTTCTATACACCATTCCGTAACCTCTACCAAATTCCTGTTTAAATGAAAGAAGTAGATTCACAAAGATAAGGTAGATAATAACCATATAGAAGTCAACGGGTGCTAGAAGATTATATGGATGTTGATAAGAATAGGATACTGAAACAGTACGAATTGAGAGTGAGAAAAAAGCACTTCGAAGAAATCTTTCTTGGTTGCAATAGGTTAGGCATCTCATTGACAATCATTTATTGGTAACGGCGATACCTTATTGGCCTTTAAGTACTTTATAAGCATCAAAACTTTAACGTGAAGTCATTAACAATATTAGAAAATCTCCACAGAAACAATTGCGAATTTGAATCACCATATTTTTATAAGTTTCCAAAAAAAAGCAATCTTGTGTCTCTGTTGGGATGGGAGACGTGACATTTCGGGTATTCGGATTCCTGTGATGTGGGAACATCCATACCGTGGCCGTAAAGATCTTCTGCCGTTGCCGACAAGAAGAAGCTCGGGTAGTGATCACACAAGGAAAAGGAAGGCTTTTTAAATAGGCTAATTAAAGAAATCACTGAAATCCATGGTGTGTAGTTTAACGATGTGAATCACATGACAAAAAAACCGTTGAGCATTGCGTCGCCTGTGTCTTTACGCAAAACCAATGAAGTGGACATTTGTAAACCAACAGAACCGACATCGTCGGATCTGTAAAGTCGCTGCTGTTGCTGCTGTTGCTGGACTACAGCGGTGTCGGCGTGATCACCGCTGTCGCCGTCGGTGGCGGATCAACGGCAAAACCGGTCGTGCCTATCGCCGGCGATACGATTGCTTAACAGTGGGCTTAGTAGGATTTACGTAGGGTAAGCGACCCATGTCTGCTTGATTTTTGTTTTAAGCGGAGAGCGAAATAAGCAACGAGTTAAAAAGTAGGTACAACCGTCAACGCATACGCACGAGATAGATATCGATCGAGAGTCGACAGAGAACCTTTATTCGTTAAAGAAAACCAGTAGAATAATTTTTCTAGTTGAAGAAAGTAAAGATAAAAGCATTCCTTACGAAAGTGCTGTTGCAATAAGAACAAAAATAGAGTGCCGTCTTTAAGAAAAACCAAAGCTAACCAAATAGACTTTCTTTCTCTTTCAAAACAACTTTTCAATTCCGTCGAACTTAATCTAACTAAATATTTACGATAAATGAACAGAAATTGTAACCTAACAGGTAATCAACCGAATCACCCCATTTTTCACCGATCAGCTCTCCGATTTGCTCCACACACTCTGTTAATTTCTAAACTTCTATTTCTATTTTCTTTCCCTTGCTGTCCACTGATGTTTATTTTCTAATAAAAAAAAACAAAAATGTTCTCTTTGTATTTATATGGCCAGACTTCACTTATGTGTTACGGATCCATTCACCTTTTTCACTCGATTCATTATCTCGGATCCACCAGATCTATGGATTCGCGTCTGGGCTCGGTTAGCAACCTGGCGCCGTTGCCTTCGCCACGAATGTTGTAAAAGGTCGACATCGCCCTACCTGGAACCTAGAAGCAAATCCATAAACCCAGGGCAACTATTCAGGACCGTTCCCAAGTCTTAGCAGCAGCTAATAGCAATCCATTTCAGATCCGTATTTTACACGACCTCCTTTATCGTTACTATTCTCGCAACTTTTGATCACAAGGTTACCACTTAGAAAGCCAGCTGACAGAGCATAGTCGGTTTTCATCAAAAGGATTATAGGTGGTTAATAATCATCGGCTAACAATACCTGACATCAGTGAATTTCCTTCCATTAATCTATAATCCACTCCGAAACTGCCCAATGATCTCGGCATGTCAAGAGCTTAGAAGAGCTGTGTACTTTTGTTAGAAAGCTTTTTATCTTACTGTTTTTAGGAAGAAAGGAACAACTGGCAACTCGTATAATTCCGCCAAAACGGTATCTTACCCCTAGCTAGTTTATCGTGTAGAATTATTTAACTGAGTTATACCTTTTTATTTTCTGCCTACTATAATTTCGCGGCAGGGTACTAAGCGAAAAGATCGATAGAAATAGCTGAGAGACAGGCGAAACAAAGGACCCGCATGGTGTGGTGGTGAACGCGTTACTCCCCGGAAAGGACAATAGCGCGTTCGTTCCCCACCATAGACACCTGCGGTCCAGAGTTCTGCAAATATCTCATCAACGTTGTGGTTGTATTTAACTGAGTGTTATAACAGTAAGGTAGAAGGCCCGTGTGGCGCAGTGGTCGGACGCGCCCTGTAATACACATATGGGATCGATTCCCGTACCCAGACTCACCAAGCCCTCTATCCCTCTGGTGTCGGTAAATTGGTGCCAGACTTGTCTGGGAGGATAGCAACACTGGCTCGGTACATCGATAGGTCACCGCGATTTATTTTAAAGGCCAGATATTCATTCAATTATCACCAATGAAGATTAATGAAGTCGAATGCATGGCGCATCCCTCGGGAATTGATCAACGCCGAGAGCTCTATTCTTTATTTTTTAATAGTTAGAGAGTCGTGACGGTGAGTTGAGTAGCTTCGGGATCTCTCTTTCTTACCATACCAATGAATATCCTCCAATTTTTAATACCGATTTTTCCAGATAGGTTTCCAGGTAAGATTCCAGTAAGACAATGATGGTTCACTCAGAATTATGGTTAATATCAGCTCTATCATTATCATTCGTGGTTGGAGACTTATCACTCTATCGAATAAGCTCGGAAAACAGAAAGACTCATTTTTTTATTCTTGGTTAGACAAGAAAAGTAGATCTTCGTGCTTCTTTCTCTTCGAGGTTAGTAACTGTGCTACTGTGTTGCCTCAAAGAAAGTAGTCGGACCTCGCTTCTCATTGAGGTGTAAATATCCGAGTCCATTTCTGAAAAAATAGTGTTAGTTTAAAGAATGGTTATTAAATTTAGCTTTACGAGGCTGAATCTATAACTCGTATATAATGCTGAGATATTTGCAAAATTCCAGATCGCAGGTGTATGCGGTGGGAAACGAACCGGGGAGCAACGCACTTCACCACCACACCATCCGGGTCCTTCGTTTTGCCTGTCTCTCATGCACCTGCGGTCCGGAGTTTTGCAAATATCTCATCATTATATACGAGTTATATTTCGCAAAATACCCTGCCATTAAAAAGAGAAGGCAGTAAATAAAAGGGTTGAGATGCTGAATCTATAGTTCGTGACTAACAAAGCTTGGTGACGATGCAGAATGTGTCCGAGTTGCTCGAAGACCACGGTCCTGTCATGATTTCAGTGATCGATCGGCTCCATTATTTATGCTGCTTTTCTTAATCTAGTTTCAGTACTGCTTTTCTAGATTAGAGCTGTGCAGCAGATTTCACAGGGGGCTTATATAGAATGCACAACTGTATTATATATTATATTATACATGTATATTATGTATGTATAATAATATTATGTATAATATGTATATTATATTATACAACTTCTCAGAACATACTGCAATCTATTCTTAGCCGTCTCGTTAGTGGAGCCGCAATAATTGTACAGTACCGATGGAGTAGTAATATTCACATAACTGCTAGTTATTCAGTTACTTGAGTACTTGAATATCTGACTATGTCTTCATGACTCACAAGGAACCCTACAGGTTCTAGCACGAGCCACTCCACCTTACTGTAATTTGGTCGGTTGGGCAAGGTTTTCGTTCTTTGCTGTCGTATTGGAGATTTCCCAGATTGCCACCACGTGGTGGACAGTGAATGCTTTGTTGCCAAGATTGTAGCGATCCGTGGTATTGGTTTACTCCTAGATAGGCTCCCAAATAGAACCATCCCTCTTCTCAACTTGGGAGACTGTGCTTAGAAATGAACTCTATAAAGTTAATCGTAATTCGACATTCAAAAATGATCGCAAGCAATTAGCGGGAATCGACACCGCCTGATAATTCGTTTACAGATGATTGATGCATCTAAGCTTTTTCCTGAAAAACTAACCATCATTGAATGTCATGGAAAAAACGAGCACGTTAGTCGTACATTATTTCTGCCATTTACTTATAACCCAGCGATTGAAACACTACTCTTTGGTGGAATGGTAAGGTGTGCAGGTTCATTAACCTAAAAACGACAGTGTTTGTGAATGTGTATACATTATATATATATATATATATATATATATATATGCACGTATGTACGTGTGCGTGTGTGTTTGTGTATGTATGAATGTGTGTGCATGTGTGTGCATGTGTGTGGTCTGTTTGCTTTCCGCCTTCCTGTCCGTTTGTCTGTCTATGTGTCTGTGCCTGTGGGTGGTTTTCTTCAACAGATCTCTTTGAACACATGAAGTCTGCAAAAGACTTTAACTTTTAATTTTAACTTTTACGTTCACCAATGTGAGAAGAAGTAAAAACAGCACCGGTCCGCCCCTTATAACAAAAGCGACACTTACGTTTAGGTTAATCGCGATGATCTTTTGAATGTGGACAACAAAAACTGGAATGGAATTGTTTGCAGGCGATGCGACTCACTTATATTTCCAGAAGACAAGGTCGGCTACATTGAAAGTGAGCGGTGTTGCGATCTTATGATGAATAAGTTTTATCCAGAAAAGAATCGTTAATCTTGGAGTGGGCTTACTAGATCACCCTGGATTGGTCGCTCAACTAATCGCTGAAAACATTGCCGCGGTAGTGCCGGTACTAGCAGCCGTAGAGGAAGATTCTCATTCGCAAGGTAGCAAATTTGCCCCATTCTATGATAGGTGGCTACTGCCTCTAGCAGTCCAAACCACGCTGCCACACAACTATTAGATGTTTCTGGGAAAAAATACGATTAACGAACGTTATACATTTCAATGAAAAAAGGGAATATATTTACGGGTCACTGCAGCAGTCTACTTCTGTCGATAACAGCTGTGGGATTTAAAAATGAGTGAAAGAAGTCTTGGTGACGACACATTGTGGGAAGCTGAGCCATATAAGCAAGTAATTTTTCATGCTTAACATAGTAGTGGTCATTATTTTTAGCCTTGTCATATTGGAAGAGGTACGCAGTGGCCAGATTGAACCTTGCAATACAAACCGGATTCCGTGTTCTGGGCTAGTCAAACCCTTTATCTTTTCGAGTTAGGCAAATTGGTAGCAGACTTTCGTAACAGGATGAAAACACTGACTTAATTCATCGCTAATCCATCGAAAATCACTGTGCATGTCAGTTATGCATTCATTCACCTATACTATGTTTGCAGAAGTCCAATGCATGGCGCATCCCGCAAAATCCCATTTTTACCACTGTTACATTAGTTCGGATGACATGTAGGTATTCAGACTATACTGCTGAACTGCCAGTCATGACAGTTGGAGGCAGAGAAGGAAAAGAAACAGAAACCATCTCTTGGTGGTGGCACACAAAGAGCGACAAGGATTTCGATACGATCGGTTTCGAATGGCTCGTCATCGATAACAAAAAGGTTGTGTGCAGTTGTGAATATTTGTGATAAACAGCTTGAGTTAGACAGATCCATAAGGACCATTCATGCTGTCGTTGAGCAATGCTGATTTCAGACTCTACTTTGCGGTGACTGTGAATTCGGTCCGATCGGATTACGCTCATTGGACGACAAGGAGTTCTGGGTGGCTGTTGAAAGGGTCCGCTACAAGGACAAGAATCCTGTAATGCCTAAAGGTCATCAAATGAAACCGAAGAAAGCAAAAAAAGTACAACAATAGTGACGATAACGTTTATACTAACATGATTAAGCATGAAAAACAAATAAAGATTTACGAAATCAAACCAGTTCCAATTTTTAGAAAAACCCTGAAATAGATACGGTCCTTGGTTCAATCCCTTGCTTCGAGAAAACCAAGAACTACCTCTCTCCGTGATAGACAAATTGCTACTACCAAACCCGTGGAAAGCAAAGACTTAATCGATATTTATAATACCTTGCAAGTCACTGTATACGTGAATTATTCATTCGGGCGCTTCTACCACGTTTGAAGCCCATTATTCTTGACCATTTTATCATTTCGAAAGTAAGGAGAGCACCAATGCAGTCCTCATTCGCTCTTTTGTCACATTAGAAATTGCTAGTGTGAACATTTGCATGAGGGACACGGAAAACGTCAAAGTTTTCATATAAGACCTTTCTTAGTTCACACGTAACCCGGAGCAAGTGGTTTGCTGGGTTTTCTGACCACAAAACCACTTTCTATTTGTTTCTCAAAGTTTTGGCAAAATCTATCAGCAGTTACTAAGATATCTCTTGAAGTAGATCACACTTTCTCAGTCAACAACAATGGGAAGCACTGGGTGGCTAGGAGAACTCCTGATGGTGTGACTAGTGTGTTTATGTCTCGTGATCATTTTTAGTACCGCCTTTGATCTGATGCAACGAAAAAAGAATGAAGGCAGCAGTAACTCCCACGTCCAATTTTCTATTAACCTCGGCATTAACTGAATAATTTTTTCTACTTCTGTTCAGCAAACACGAAGTGTTATTTTATTTCTTTATTCACGTACAAGCTGACGTTTCGGCGGATTTCGCCTTCCTCCGAGTCTGGAAAGGTCAAGTTGACAGCAATCTATTCGGCCAAACACCTCTATAACCAAGCAGAGAAAACGCTAAACCAAGGTTTCAATCACATTGAACAAAGCTTTGCACACTCACCGCTTTCTAAGAGACTTCCATTGAGTATGTCGCGTGAAGACCAACGCCACAGAAATCACCTGGAAGCATAATGTGCTCCTCCCATCAGAATAGCAGTCTGATATACTCTCCTACATCACGCGTGATGATGAGGCATTCTTCCCTGCGGTTTATTCTCGGATTTCTGGAGTTAATCCATAATGCCCCGAAAGTTTTTCGCGCCTGTGTTCTTGATTCGCGTGCTAGGATCGTGACACGCACTTCAAAGTCCTCCCCGTTATGTCTCTGGGTCCTATGCGTGCCTAACGGGCTATTTGGTCTATGTTTGCCGGCTAGGTGTTCTTTTATGCGGACATAGAGAGGTCTGCCCGTTTCGCCAATGTATTCGTCACCGCACGTCTTACAGGAGATCAGTTAAACTATACCCGAGCTCATGCAAACACCGTCTCTACCACTGGAGTAAATTATTCAATTTTGAGTTGCACATAGACGGTCATATAGGCGGTTACGAACTAGCTGGCGCTTAAGATTACTCGGTGGTATTTCAACTATGCTCACCGAATTCTCTAGACCCGCCCTTTATAGCTGCACTTACATCATTTGAGATGAATGGTAGGATAAACGGGACCCTTCTATCGTTAGAGTTGTCGTTTGGAGGCCTAGGATTTTCACACCTATCCTGAGCTACAGTTTCGTAGTCATTAGAAATGGTTATTCGCCTCGCCAAGTTCCGGGACTCCTCTCTCCGCTCTCTTCCCTTGTACCCGTTGGTTGCTGTTCGAAACATGATTCTTACAAGCTCTATTTTGGTGTGAAAAGGGTGAGAAGAGAAGTAATGTACCAAGATGTTTTTACTACTTGGCTTTCGGTACCAGTTCGTAATGTAGTCACTTTTTGACAGGTTAATTTGGACGTTCAGGAATGGAAACCATTTTTTTTCGGTTTCTCTCAGGTGAACTTGATATACTCCGACTGTTTATTCAACAACTCGAAACATTTGTCCATTTCCTCTTGTGTTGAGCAAAGGACAAAGCAGTCGTCTACATACCTACAGTAGAGTAGCGGCCCGAGATCAGTCACCGGTGCTTCCACCTCAGACATAAATGCGATGGCAAGACTTGGAGCCAGTCGTTTTTCCTATTGCCAACCCTCTTATTTGAACGTAGTACTTTCCAGACCATCTGAAGATTGAGCAGCTCAAGCATTCTTTTAAGAGTGCCATCAACTGCTCTATCTTGAAGCCATACATGTTTATTTCTCCTTCGTGTTGCGTAAGGAGTTCAAGTACGGCTTGCATTGCGGAATCATTCGACACGTTTGTATAAAGGGCGGTAACGTCGAAGGACTCCATCACGCACGCGCTGTTGGGCTGCGCAGTACGTAGACGATCCAGAAACATCTGGGTATTCGTAAGGTGGGCTGGAATGTGTTTCAACAACTGGTTAAATATTAGGGTTAAAAACCATGTTATCCTGTCCATTGGCCCGTCTAGGCAGCTAATGATAGGTCCACCCTTAAATAGTGATGGATCGGTAGACGCAAGATCATTGCTGGGTACTAACTTATAAGTTTTTATAAGCAAGTAAAAGTCGGGACGTGTTGGTAAGTCAACTTTTAGTTGAGAGATAACTAATGGTTTTAAACTAGCAGCCCTTGCCATTTTGGCCCATTCTTGGTTCAATTTTCGGTCATCGTTTTTTTTTACTGAACTCCGTACGTACTATAATTGCAACCTCGAACTTGGGTAATTAAACCCAAGTTTAAGATTGTAATTATAACTCGTATAAAATGCTGAGATATTTGCAAAACTCCGGACCACAGGTGTATGCAATGGAGAACGAACACGCGCTGTTGTCCTTACCGGGGAGCAGCGCACTTCACCACTACACCATCCGGGTCCTTCGCTTTGCGTGTGTCTCAGCTAGTTCTATCGATCTTTTTTACCAACAGCAATCACCCGTCAACGGGGTTGATCTGGGGAGCATTTCATACGAGTTATATTTCGCAACATAACCTGCCATTAAGAAGAAAAAAGGCAGTAAATAAAAGAGTTAAGACTGTAATTATAGTTCGTACGGACTTCAGTAGAAAAAAACGACGACGATGAAAACATTATCGGCTCAGATCGACTCACTTCTCGTATGGATTCCCGAGCTGCCATTGTTACCGAAGAAGACGTCTCCTGAAATCATTTTTCGGTATTTACTTTTAAACTCCTTCTCAGATGATGGGCGATAAAGCGAAGCATCCTCATGATGCTTTTTCGTTATCTCAACATCTACGACAAACTCTCCACTCTTATCACTAACGGATAGTCTTATATTTTTTAACCTTATCAGCTCTCAGACCTTTCGCATACCACGTTTTTGCACTAGAGCGAGGCTTGAGCTGTATCTTTTCGCGCGATAGTGATTAAGGACTTTGAGAGTTTCATTCGCAAACATCCGAAAATTAACATCAACTTCATTATTGGGATCTTGTTGTCTAAAGAACGTCGGGGGAAATGGCGCTATTGGTAGGGCCCCACTTGATGTTGTTCGCACCTATTTAGCGCTTCATCTCCAGCTTTTTTGCGGAGTCTATCTTGAAGTTCATGTAAACTACATGCGATCCTACGCAAGGTTATCTTAGAAATCGGTTCGGATGGCGAGAAACTCGGTCCCAATTCTATTAACGAGCGCGCACCGTCAAGGGAGTATCATGCCTCCAAACACGGTTAGCCTTGAGTTTCTTGCACATTACTTATCCTACTGTGACCTGTTCGATGTTTCTTAGCGATATTTTTGTGCGCTATTGAAGCTGTTTTATGCGATTTACTCAAAAAGTCCTCGATTAATCTAATCTTAGGTAACCTTAGGCGCTAGCTAGTTCGTAACCTCATATATGACTGTCTATGTGCAACGCAAAATTGCATAATTTGCCCCAGTGGTAGAGACGGTGATTGCATGAGCTCGGGTATATTTTATCTGATCTCCTGTAAGACGTGTGGTGACGAATACATTGGCGAAACGGGTAGACTCCTCTGTGTCCGCATGAAAGAACACCTAGCCGGCAAAAATAGACCAAATACCCCGCTAGGCACGCATAGGACCTAGAGACATAACGGGGAGGACTTTGAAGTATGTGTCACGATAATAGCACGCGAATCAAGAACACAGGCGCGAAAAACTCTCGAGGCATTCTGGATTAACTCCAGAAATCCGAAAATGAACCGCAGGGAAGAATGCCTCATAATCAGGCGTGATGTAGGGTAGTATATAAGACTGCTATTCTGATGGAAGGGCACATTATGCTTCCATGTGATTTCTGTGCGGTTGGTCTCTACGTGACATACTTAGTGGAAACCTCATAGAAGGCGGTGAGTGTGCAAAGCTGTGTTCAATGTGATTGAAATCTTGGTTTAGAGTTTCTTTGTTTGGATATGGAGGCGTCTGGCCGAGTAGATTGCTATCAACTTGACCTTTCCAAGCTCTGAGGAAGGCGAAATCCGCCGAAACGTCAGCTTATTCGTGAATTAAGAATAATAACACCTCGTGTTTGCTCAACAAAAATACGATGTACAACCACAACGTTGCTGAGATATTTGCAAAACTCTGGACCGCAGGTGTCTATGGT